GGTGGTTTCTGCGAAACCGGTGCCTGCCACATGTTGACGTCCTCAAAGGCGGTTTCTTCCACAGTAGCTCCTGCCATGCGTGCCTCCAGCTTGAGACCACTCCCACAGCGGAGACCTCCGAACTCATGGACTCGTTTCTCTCCGCTGCTATCATACCTCCAGCCCAAAAGATCCAGCAAGGCTGAAAAAGCTTTGTGTGTGCTCGGAGTGAAGGACTGCGGGCCGGGGTCAAGCACACATAGTCATCGAAGTAGCATGAAGTTACTATCTCCACCACGTGGGCAATCCACTGGATCATTCGTGCGCACCTCAAGAAGGCCACCAGCCTTGGCTAAGGGCAAAAGATACTGTACTGCTGGAAACAAGTGGCCCGATCTTCGGCGCAAAATACCGCAAGGCGGGCCCACTTGAGGGAGTCATCGCTGAGTGCTAGCTGCCGGTACGCGCTTTTGAGGTCGAAGCTCCTGCCGAGGAGCCTAGCAGGTTTGCCCACCTTCTCCAACTCCTTCATGAGCTCGCAGCCATGGCCCCGATAGTGTCAACTCCATCAACCGTACACGGATTTTGCCCTCCGTCTGTACTACAGCAAAACGTGGGTCGCAAGTTGACCACAGAGCTCCCATCCCGTAGGCGCAACACCACTGGCACTAATGTTCAGCACTATATCGCCTGTGAGCCCATGTCGTAGTGCTACCCTCAAATGTCATAAAGTGTAGAGGCGAATCAAGCCAGAAATCAACAGGAGGTTGTCGTCCTGCTAGGTTGCTGCGCGTTGTCGTGTTTGAGCCAGACAGCAGCATATGACCTGCAGAGATAGTTGGTGGTAGCATGTGACCAGTCAGCGCGAGAACGAGATAGAATTCAGCAGTTAATCGGGCAGTAGGTGGAGGCAACGTGAACAACCTTAGGTGTTTCTACCTTATATCTCTTTTCTCAGTCGAGTCCTTTAGAATCAGATAGTGATTGTGGCAACCGGTGTATGTGCGTCTACAACCAAGCAATAGAGTGAAAAATCAATACAGCAGAAATATTAGGGCAACAACGAGCACCACAGCATTCATGCTTACGGGCTGTTTCTTTTGGCCTGCTCTAATTGCCCTGTCACCCTAGTCTTCGCTAAGGTAGATGTCTGAAACACTGAATTGTTCGGACGAGAAGAGGTCATTGATAATGATCTTCCGCGTGGTTCTCTTCCCCACGTTCCTGGCCCTAGGACGTTCTTGCGGTGCAGTTTGGACTGTGTCGGCCTCGAGCGCTTCCTGTTCATCAGCAACTTCATCTCGTCGCATCTGCTCTAAATTCTCAACTACTGTTCCATGTGGATGGCTGCCTCCATCATGACTGCCAGTAATGTGCGTGCATAGTCAAGCTGTGCTTTGCCTCTGGCATTGCTTTGCGGCCTGGGGCAAAGCGGGTTTACTCTTGTCTGTTCCGTCTGTTGCTCTTCCTTGGGGCTTACTGGAGGAGGTACCTCTGAGAAAACTTCATTAAGAGCCTGCATGTCTCTGGCGCTGTACGTGCCTGTAGGGTCGTATTGAGCTGCTGCAATGTGACCTGGGTCCTGGTATTTTCGTTTTCCAAGCGCTCCTTCTTCAATTCGTGTGGCAGGCGCCATGCCATATTTACCTTCGAATCCTGTCGTTACAGTCCAGGTCCCTTTCTGGCCGCCATGTTTCTACTGGTTTTTTGGATCCTGTTTTGGGAGCCATGATGAAGCAGGTTTGTTGGCATTCGAGGCGCTCCAAGGCTTACCGAGCGGCAACCATCAGATAGAAGTGGCCACCACAGAGAAAAGGAAGGCGGGAGTTACAAAACAGATTGCCGCAGTCTTAGAGAAGGGCAGTCTCACACCTCAGGCCACTGCCTCACTGAGAGGTAGGTTGGGATTTGCAGAAGGCCAGCTCTTCGCCACTCGCAAGTTGATCAATGAGTTGGGTGCCCAGTGCCCATGCCTTGCATCCACCTCGCAACACCCTGAGAGAAGACACCCAATCAGGTGACAACCTGCCTGGATTTCAAAAAGCTGTGCCAAAGTTTGTAGGCAACAAGCACGGCAAAGGCCTCTAACTCCCCGATCGCCTCCTCATTCTCAGCCATGACGGAGTCACAGAGCTTGGAGGGGACCTTTTCCCCGAACCAACTCAGCACACAACCATCAGGTCCCATGAGGACCCCCCTTCTCTGGTTTCAGATTCCTCATCCTCAAAGGTTACGCAGCCAACAAATTGTTGAGCTGCATCGTTCACGAGATAGCCTTGCAAGAGGAGGAATTTTTTTCCGTCCAACGCCTCATAGCTCTCGCCAGGTCGTTCATCATGCCTGTAAGACAGTTGCAAATTGACAAATTCGATCAATTAATGCAAAAACGTCATCCATCATCACGATGGCGGACTTCAAAAGTGAACTGAGGTAGGACCAGTATACAAAGTCCTGTTGCTGTCACGATGCCTACAGAAAAAACACAGACAAGAAGCAGAAACAAAAGAAGCTTTGCAAGAGGAGGAAGGGTGCCTCCTGCCATGGTACTCAAGAGTACCGAGTGAGGCGAATGTTGCAGACTTCCCTTCGCATTTGGTAGCGCATGACTTGCTGCCTGAAGAGTTTGAGGGCTGCCCGAGCTAGAAGGTGACACCCTCTTAAAGAAGGGGGAGGTGGAAGAGGGCGTGAGATGCAAGAAGCCTGGGCTTCCCGCATTTCGGTTAGGAAAAACATCGAGCGTCAACATCTGCAGTTGTTCATTGAGCATGAGTGCATTGGAGAATGAATGTGTGTAAGTCTGACATAAAAGAAGAGGGCAGTTGGCGAAGACTCACTGTAACTATCTTTGTTTAACCCTGTGATTGTAAACAAAGCTTGCATTCAGTCGACGATGTCAGTTGAAACTTGGACAGTTTGAAATGGACAGTTTGAAAATTTGTTTATTTGAGTTACTTGCTCAAGGGTGAGGTGGGAGGATTCAACATTGCCCCGCCTTGAGAGATTGGCCCACCCGCCACCCATGCAGCAGCATCATCCAGCAGATCAGCCCTTTGTGGCACTGTTGCAGAGTCTTCAAGGCTTGGCAACCTTCCAGCACCAAGTGAGAGCTACTTTGATTCAATTAGATGAGGTAGGAGACTGTGCAGAAACCTGGCCCTCAATAAATGCCAACTGGCTGCAGCGCATTGAAGCGTCGCGCCAGTCAATGATTGACCTTGACGCCGTCTGTCAGAGGCAAATCAATCAGGTGCTGGAGCCTCTCCACGATCTGTACCGTGAGCAGAATTCCCACCCATACAATACTCAATTTGCCTACCCTACCGTACGGTGGAAGAGGGCGTGAGATGCAAGAAACCTGGACTTCCCCCATTTCGGTGAGGAAAACAGGGAGCGTCAGCATCTGCAGTTGTTCATTGAGCATGAGTGCATCGGAGAATAAACGTGTGTAAGTGACATAAATATGCCATACTATTTACAAGACAATTATTACATGCACCAACAAACACGTTTAAAATTAGAATGCTTACGGATTTCGTGATTTCTGAAAAGCTTGAGTTTCTTTAGCGTTTGAATTTGTTTGCATGCGCTGAAATTTTGTTTTTGCAGGCTGATCTCTTGGTGATTTCGGCAAATGGTGTTGTCACTTTTGCCACTCGGCACCACAAATAGATGCAGTCCAGAACCACGCAGGGACACGTGATCAAAGTCGGAGGCAACCATTTTTTTCGAAAAAATGTTACGAACATTCAAACAGTCTCTTTAGATGTGGCATGTTTGGCATTTAAAGGGCGCTATTGACGCAGTGTTCAGAGTTCAGGCATGGCAGGCCTGACGGGAATTAGAAAGGAATACACAATTTGGTGGCTCAGTCACGGGAAAAAACATCCTGCACATCGCTGGGTTCAAAGAGAGAACATCCGGTTGCAAACGAGAAACTTCAGTGGGCAGAAACATGCTTCCAATCTGTGAGAAAAGCATTCATAGTTCCTGGGGTGAATTGACAGGGGCTTGTGCCTTTGCCATGATCAGCACAAGGACAGTGCCGCAGAGGGGTTGCATTGATTTTGGACAAACTTGAAGAGGTGCTCATGTGGGTTTGTCCGAAAATGGGGTATGCCCTACCCCAAATTTGAAATTTTCAGGGAGAAAATGATGATCAACAATCAATTGTGTTTTTCGCATTTTTTCGCCAGAGAGCGGGTGCTAATATCGAGTTAGGATCAATGATCCCCGCAAGTATAACAATTCGCCGGCTCTCCCTCAATTGGGGCAATATTAACGTCAATTACAGGTGGTTTTTGTCCACCCCAATAATGGTTCACCCCCCAATTCACGATACGCTTCCATCCATCGGTCTATGTGCGTATCTTGTCTATTTATGTTTTTGTTTAGCTGTCTGTCAATCTATTCCTCTGTCTGTCTCTGTCTGTCTCTGTCTTTCTCTGTCTGTCTCTGTCTGTCTCTGTCTGTCTCTGTCTGTCTCTGTCTGTCTCTGTTTGTAGACTTCCTACAAAAATGCCAATTGAAGATGTCAAAACGAAACAATTCAGCGAGACTTCCTGCAAAATGAAGCTTTTCGACCCTACGGAACCACAAAACATTGGAAAAACACAGTGTTTTGCGACTTTCTACCTTTTCGCGCGCCTGTATCTTCTTTCTTCTCTGATCTTCTTGTTTCTTCTCTTCTCTTCTCTGACTCGTCCCATCTCTGCTTTTCCATCTATCCATATTGTCGGAAGTTTGATTTTTTAATTTCCTTCGACTAAGACACTGTTCAATGGATCAAACAGCAGTTTTTTTCTGAATGGGTTGTTTACCGGTTACCGTTCCTTGCACTACTCTTTGGTGTTTATCAATAGCTGGGGACCCAATTGAGCAAAAAATGTCACCAACCAATGAGGAAAAAACATGTAACCTAACCTGAGATGTTTGATTCAGCATGATGCAGCCATATGCATCCTCTCATGTTTTTTGCAGCCATTCTTCCGGGGTTCGACTGCCAGATTCAGCAGTTTTTTTTTGGATCAACATATTTTGTAAGTCTACAGATTTAGCCCGGTTTTTGGCTTGTCCCTTCATGGCAGCTGACCGCACAAACCACACGGACTGCACGGACCCCACGCCTGAACATGGCCACAACGGCCACAACTTGGAGGTCGACTTTCGTGCGACTCCGTCCACCAGAAGCTTGACCTGGCAAGTGCCCGAGAGTCTTGTTCGCGGAATTCCATTTCGGTGCCTCTTGGCGGGAGGTGGACGACCTTTTCGGACGAAATCCGACTCTGCCAAAACTTTAGCAAAACAATTGAAACCCTGTGTTACATATGATGCGTTTATTAGCCATGACTGGCAAACCTCTGGTTGGCTGAAGTATGCATCTCTCTTGTTGCTCTTCAACTCGCAAACTGCCGCCATTGTGACCCTAGTTGTGAGCGTCGCTGGTGGGTTGCTGATTTTTTATGAATTGTTGCCCAACAGCGACTGGGCAATTTGCATCGGCTACCTCACGTTCATTGTATTGCTGTTGTTTTGGCAAAACATCCGGGACGTTTCCTGGAGCTGAAGATTTTTTTTTTGAGTCCAATTGATTATATAATCGACTGGTTGGGTTATCTACCGAAATATGTATTGTTTTTGCGGCCCTGAATCCAGCAAATCCAAGGTTTTTCGGAAACCGAAACTTGCCTTTATGGACAAACTGACAATTCCGCAGGAAGATGAGAAATTGAAGGAACAATGCATTCTCGGGCTGGCGGGCTTCTTGCAACGTTCTGAAACGTTGGTTATTCTGTGGTCAGAATCATACATCGGCCGTGTTTGGTGACTTGGCCAAGGATCGAACCTTAACACTTGATATTTTTTGGACATTTTGGTGTTTCAAAGAATTTGGAGGAGTTATTTTGCAGATCCAAGTTGATTTCAGATCTAGCTGAGGTGTGTCTATGAGTTTGCTGCGTTTACAAGAATGCATTCAGGAAAGGGAAATGTGCAGGCGGTGCCAGTCACATTCCCTTTGCTTCTTTTGCTGCATGCCGCATGGTGGTTGGCAGTCAACTTGGTGATCTATGTGGTTTGGAACTCCTTAGATTTGGCGCTGCCCATCTTAATCCTGCTGTGTTGGTGTAGCATTGGCTTGTTCTTCCTCATTGGTTTTCCGGTGCAGTCCTGGGCTGGCAGGCGCTTGACGCGGAATTTGCACAGCCTCACGGCACAACTGTCACACTTTGATGTCAATGAAGCCAAGTGTTCATGCTGCTCATGTGGCCATGTGAGTTCCGAGGGGGAGGAAATCCCATGTGACCGCGAATTGATTTATCAGAGTCTCCAGGATTGGTATGGAAAGGACAGCGACGACTTACAGGCGGGGCTTGAGAGATTCAATGCAGTGGTCAGGAATAAGCTCACAGGTCAGATCTTGCAGACCTGGGGTGGCAATGCCGTTCCCGTCAAAATTTTCACATACAGCGTCTTCAGCATGCATACGCCTTTCTTGATCACCAGGATCCCAGCTACCCTATAGTACGCGCAGAATGAATCTACTACGACAGTTGAATTTTGGATCGTAGCAGTGAGAGTCCTGGTGTCCAGTTGGGGCTGCATCCTTGCAGGCATGCTGATCTACACTTGGGCGTGTAAAACCATGTGGGCTCTGGCAGAGAAGCACGACCGCTGTCCTGTTTTGATGACAGCCACTTCCATGGTGCTTGTCATGGCTTCTCTCGCTGCGACATTACTTCTATGCATCCTTCCTGTTTGGGTGACCCCGTCAAACAGTTTGCTTCCACTGCTGCCGTTTCTACTGGTCATGTCTCTGGGGCTGTATTTAGTGAATCGAAGAACCATCTGCATGCCTTCCTTCTCTTCCTGCTCTTCCTGCTCCCACAATGGGAGGCAGCAAAAGGACGGCAAAGACCCCCTTGAAGCAGAATGGGACACTCAGTCTATTTGCTCCAGCTTTTCAATCTGAGTGCAGAGCCAAGATTCGAATGTCTAAATGCTGGCGAAATGGCAACATGCTTTTTGGCCTTGTGAATTTATTGTGAATTTGTTGAACGACCCCCTGGCTATGGCAGTTTCACCAATGAATCAGAGTCCTCCTCTTCTCCAAGAGAACGCTTGGGCAGAGCATGGCAGAGCTATGATTCGTCACACGAAAAGTTCGGATATCGCCCAAATCCATTGGTTTGTCATCATTTTTTGCTTTGTGGACAAGCCCATGCAGCGTTGTTGTGGATTCCAAAGGCTGGTCCTATGAGCATTTCATAAACAGCTAGACAATAAGCAGTTTTGGAGGCAACAACAATCATGCCAAACTGGTTTCTCACATGCATTGGTTCGATTGGCATCCAAGCTTTTGTTGTGACCGGCGTTGTCAACCCCATCAACCTCTTCATGGTCCGAAAACACCAGAAAAACCATTTATTTATTTGTTGATATTTGTTGAGCAGCTGACATTTGATCATTGACCTGTCACTGTGGTTGAGACAAGTAAGCATGGGTGAGGAGAGGTCGTAGGCGTCGTGAGACACTCCAACCATGTCCAAGAGTCATTGCTCTTGGTAATCTGGTAATCTGGTGAATAGGTCAATCCATTTGCACGTGGTGGAGTTTCCATCCAACCATGTTAGGCTACCACAAATTGATCTCAGAAAATTGTTTTGCAGGTGCAAAAAATGCCAATCGAGTGGGCTAGATGCAATAGTTGTTGGTGAAATCCACATGATTGTGATATTCTCCACTCTTGTTGTTCTTGAATGGTTTGTGTAGTCTATAATTCATATCTAATATATATATATTTATACATACATATATACACATACATATAATATGCATAACCCTCCAAAAAAGGAAAAAAAATAAGCCCGCTCAAATAGTGATGAATTACTCTTCTATCTTTACATAGGTATAGGTATGACAACATGTGAGCACTCATGTGCACTTACATGTGACATTGTCAGCAGCCCATACTCTTCGTGCAGGAGAAGATTGGCTGCGGTTGGGACTTCATCTTGGTGCCATTCGGGGCCAGGGTTTTGGAGGAAGCATAAGCAATGCACAGTTCATCCTGTTGATCCTGAAACGAGGGCTTGGAGAATATCGTCTTCCAAAACAAATGGGAATCCCACCCTCAACCAAGCACTAGGAGGTTTTTTGGGCACTGCGGTTGGGAGTTTTTTTCTTACAATTTTTGGTGATTCTCTTCTACGAGACAAACAAAGGAGATGGGGGGATTCACAAGCAATAATCCTGGGGGTTCACCGAGATGTGACAGTCCATTGCCTAACAGAAACGTTCCCATCACCAGGGCCGATAGTCGTTGGGGAGGGAACATATCCCCGGGTCGCTGAAAGCCTCATGTTTGCTGGCATAGATATTTCGTTTCTGCTGAAAACACGTGTTCAACACTTCCCAGTTTTGCTGAAACAACCACATCCTTCATGTGCAACCACGTGAAGAAATTTACATTTACGGTGGAGTATTGTGGGATATCCAGTCATGGGGATCATCATGACAATATAGGTCAAGCTCCGCAGCCTAGTTGGCTCCATGGAGGATGACACCAGACTCCCGCCTTTGGCTGAATTTACCGCACAAATTCTTTAAGATAGAAGAGGCGTCACGGTCTGGGAGACAACAAAGAAAGCTTTAAGTTGCAATTCATTGGTCTGAAGTTGGAACATCAACAGAGACAGATTTGATGCCGACATTCACACCCTAATGACTTGATCTCCAAAAAAACACCTGTTGCCGTGGTTCGGACCCAACTCCAGCCATGACATTTGAGGAGTGACACTTGGGTGCAGCGGGCCTGGGTTTCAAATGTTCCAGCTCACCTTCTGGTCATGATCATTGTCATCCCACTATCATCATTATTGTCTTTCCATTGAATTGATATATTGATCATTTTAATGAATAGTTAGGGTTAATAATACCACCGCCTTTTGGTAAAGCCGATTTTTTCCCAGAATCTTGGGCAATACTAGAGCCAATTTTGGGTGTGTTGTCCCCTTCAATAACGGTGCGACCCCCTCATGAGTAAAGCCCCTCTCCAACCACGGACTTTTGGTAGTACGAGTACCCATCCCTTTCACTTTTACTGTATTTGACAGGGGAAATAGTTTTCTTGATCCCTAATGGTTGGTTCAACCCAAACAAGCAACGTACAATTAAAGGACCGGATAGCCCCACAAGTCAACTTCTTCCAATAGTCAGAAACAGTGGTTGAAGCGGCACGGAACGGAGAAAGCAGAAAGGAGAAAGGAGATGGTGGAGGATCGATCATTTTTGAAAGAATTGTGCGTGAAAGTGCGTGAAAGAGCTGTCTGTGAAAGAATTGTTTGTGAGAAGGTTGCCTGTGTGAGAAGGGTGTGTGTATGACAGAGTTGTGTATATGACAAGAAGCTTGCATCATCTCCATTTGACACTTCCGAATTTCTTCCACAAGGCGCCGAAGATCTTCACACGTTGTGTCAACCTTTGCCGGCGGAGACTTCACGTGGAAAACTGTCGAAGGCCTCCCAAGCGATGCGGTTAAAAGCAGGGCGGGACGTTCGGCAGTCACAACGATGCGAACTGACCGGCCAGTGCCTCTATGTGTGCCCAGCAAGGCGCATTAGCCCATCGCCCTTGCTGTCATACTTGGTTACGAACCAAGCGTTGGCCCCAAGCACACAACCCTGCGGCATCCCGCACCACCGGCCAACGAGGTGACAGGCGACAATATGCCGCTCTGCTTGGTACAGGAGCACGCAGCAAAACATGAAGTGCAACACAAACGTGTTCGAAAACAAAGCGCAGCCAACACACGCACAGTGGCATGAACCACACGATGCAAGTGCTTCTTCCCACGTTGGGTCAAAGCTGGACCACCGGCGGCCAAACTCGCCACCAGAGCCAGCCCAGTGCCATAAGCGCCACGTCTGCCACGCAAAAGCAGCAGCGATGTCACCAAGTGCCACGCCTGCACGCAAACGACAGCTCTGAGCAGGTAGGTGTGACAGCGCGGAGGCGGAGGAGGCGGACGCAGACGGGACACAGAACCAGAAACAAGAACCCCACACAAAGATGTGGGGAAAAGCGGAGAACATCCATCATCATTCCCGAAATGATCTTTTCTTGCTGCTTTATGCATAAACAATGATAGTCTTGGAAACTCACACACGGTACCGATAAGTGCTGGCCCCTCCCACTTGAAAAGCAGGAACTCTCCAAGCAAAAGAGGCCCAGCTCAGCCTCATCTGTATTTCTTTATTTTGCCATTGTCCTTTCTCTTCGTTTGTTTTTCATAAATGATGTGAAGTTTTTTGATTCGGGATAGTTCAGAAGATGCCTCCGAAAACCTTGTTGACCTTGTTGACCTACAGGAGGGGGGGGCGGGCTCGTTAATTATCATTATTTTTTGGATTTCCAGAGCCGCTCGTAGTTGGAGGTTGACCATTGCAGGACGGCGTGTCGCTGTGGCGGAGCCATATCTTTGCTGGTGCATTATAGTGGCGTGCAGTGCAACCCATGGGGAAAAGCAAGGCGAAGTGGGACATCTTCGGGGTTAGATGAAGCAGTCCTGAGCTGGTGGTGCAGTGGGCGCAGCTTGGAATCATGGAAAAACACAAATTTCTGGTAGTCACAAGTTCACCCATTTTTTTTCGTGTGTGATTGTCCCATGGGGGCCTCCCTCCAAAATAAAAACGTGTTTTGGGGACCACTGGTTTAACATCATTGCCACCAGTAAATTGGCATGAATGAAGGGCGGAACACCTCATCTTCAGACGCATCCAAATTGTTAGCCAACTGTTAAACCCTCTATTAAATCCCATTAAATGCCCGTAAAATAATTCAGTCAATTTTTTTGGTGACCCCAAACTTTTTAACTATTGATCAACTGGGTTAGTCGCCCAGTGAAAGAAATTATCAGGAACTGCGGTATTTCTGTCCCGAGGAATCCAAACACCAGAAAAAAGTACAGATATCACAGATGCTTTCTCTATGTTTGCCCAAAAGTCATGGAATTTCCGATGTTGGTTTATCCTTGTTTATCCCTTGGTTTACTTGTATATAATGTGTATGTATGTAATGTAATGTAATGTAATGTAATGCAATGTAATGTAATGTAATGTAATGTAATGTAATGTATGTATGTATGTATGTATATATATATATATCATAGTAAAGAACAGTGAAGGTACAAAACCCCAACTGGGGTCTATGAACTCGAGCATATCCCCAAAACCAAGATGATATAAACTAACCCCAAATGGTTTGGTGGCATGGTTTAAACGCATCCACATGGACAGTTATTAGGAATTCTTGGTCACTAGCAATCATTATTACCTAGTATCAGCCACCCTGAACCACTATCAACAAATTATTACCTACTATAAACCACGGTTATCAACAATTATTAGCCACTATCATCATTTTCCATTATCACCATTATGAACCAATTATTCGCAATTGCTAATTACCAACTATTGACAAAAAATGAGAAATTATACCCAATCAACAAAACAAATATCAACTATTATATATTACCCACTATAATCACCTATTAACAAAAATGATTCATGATTGACCACAAGTTACAACATGATAACCATTATTACCTACCGTTAACATACAGTGTATAGTGGCTATACCAACAAATTATCCACTAACACCAAATGGTTGGGCACAGGGATTAGCAATGATTATCAATTGTTATCAATCATTATTTTTTCTGAGTGCCAGCCACTCTTAACCACTATTAAGAATTATTACCAATTCTGAACCACTATCAACAGTTATTAGCCATTGTGCCAATTTTCCATTATCAACATTATTTACGACTTGTTTGCGAATGTTATCCACTATAAACCATTCTAACAGTGATTACCTACTATCAAAAGAAAAATACAGTGGCTATATCAGCAAATTGTCTACTAACCCCACATGGTTGGGTACAGGGATTAGCAATTTTTATTATTATTAATTATTATCATCAATTATTATCACTCATTTTTATTTCTTGGTGCCGGCCACTCTTAACCACTATCAAGAATTATCACCCGCGATTAACCACTACCAACAATTATTAGCCATTATGATCATTTTCCATAATCAACATTATTTACCAATTATTAGCAAACATTACCAACAATTAACCATATGAATACCAACAACTATTACCTACTATTAATTTTGATATATATATATAGTGGCTATCAACAAATTTTCATCTAACTCCACATGGTTGGGTACAGGGATTAGAAATTATTATCAATCATTATTGCCTAGTATCAGCCTCTCTTAACCACTATCAACAAATCACTACCCTCGCGAGGCCAAAGAGGTCGCCCCGGATGACGACGACGAGGCGTTGGAGGTGTAAACCTGAGGGCGTTGTCGACGTCCCCGTGCGAAGTCCACCGCAAAATGGGTCGCAATTTCCTGAGAAAATTGAAGATTTCACCTCTGGAAAAAGGGGCTGAACCTAGCTTTTTAAACATGAACTAAAGATTTAAAGCATAGAATTTGGACTTAACCCATCAATATACCTTGAGTTTGTCCCGGTATGGGGTACTCTATTTGTAAACGAGCCTAAACGGGTTTAAGCTTCGCTACGAACAATGAGTTTCCAGCGAAATAGAATTCCACCAAACGGGAGTCCGGAAAAGGAATTCAATTTTTGGCAGTGTTTGGAGATTACGAGTCCGTCGGCCCCAATTTTCACTTGGAGAAGTGGATAGGGATGGTGGGTTTGTCCAGGAATGGGGTAGACCTCAGAACGATAATTTTATTGGAGAAAATGAAGATAAACAACTGGATTTTAGGGTTTTCCAACATTTTGGGAACAAAAAGTAGTGATTGTGCTGGAATTGCGCGAACGGCTCACCTTCAGTCGCCTTTTCTGCAGGAGGACACCAGCATTGAAGGGAAGTGGTCATTGGAAGAGAGGCTTGGCAAGTTTGGGATCGGAGTGACTCGTGGCATAGGTTGATAGGGACTATGAAAATAAGCCCTATGAACCAACAATTACTAAAAATAATGATAATAATTGATACTGCTTACCCTAAATAGGGTCAGCATCTGCACATAAACAGTTTGCTTTCCACTAAAGCAAACATCGACATTTGGAGAAAATCTTCACATTCTCCACCCGACTTGATCACTTCTATACCTGAAGCCCAAGTGACATTTTTTCCAGGGGTTCAGGAAGCTGATCACACATGTTTTCAGGAGTCAAGTACATACGTATACATATTCGTAAATCAATGAGGAAATGCATGAACGAAGAAACATGTTATCAGACAAATATATACAGATATGATGAACGAACAACAAACGCACATTACATACGTACGTACATACGTACGTAGATAGATAGATAGAAAGATAGGTAAATAGATAGATAGATAGATAGATAGATAGATAGATAGATAGATAGATAGATAGATAGATAGATACATGCATACATACATACATACATACATACATACATACATACATACATAGATAGATACAAAGATACAAAGATACATGTATACATAGATTCATAAATACATAGATACATAGAGACATAGAGACATAGATAGATACATAGATGCATGCATGCATGCATGCATGCATCCATCCATCCATCCATCCTACATACCTACCTACCTACCTACCTACCTACCTACATACATACATACATACATACATACATACATACATACATACATACATACATACATACACACACATACATACATACAGACAGGCAGGCAGGCACGCATGCATGCATACATTTCTACATACATACACACATACATACATACATACATGCATACATACATACAGACACACATACATACATACATACATACATACATACATACATACATACATACATACATACATAGATAGATACAAAGATACATAGGTTGACATATCATCGGTGAGGTAGGTTTGGGATAGGTCGAGGTCTCTAGGCAGATGTTCATTCACACTCGTTTCTTTTTAACATGTTGTTCAACATGTCATTCCATTTGTGATCGCGGAGGAAAGCTCTTTGCCATTTTGGCTTCAAAGATCAAAGCAGTGATCACTTCCAGGTCGAAACAGTTCCCCCCGTTTGTAGAGTTTAGGGCCTGGGAAGTTGATCCTGCTCAGGACAAGGTAGGATGTCGAATTTTCCTCCTTGCACACCTTTTGCTTGCCAACAAGCCATGGCATCCAGGAGAGCTAGACCTGAGGATTCGGTCTCGGCTGTCTCTTGGAGTGTCGTTCATGAAGGGCAGCAGGGTGGTTCCACCAGTGGCCAACCTCAAGGGCCAGGCCAATCTCAAAGTTCAAGCCAAACTCAGGCTTCAGCACCAAAGGCTCCGCCACGGGTCAGACAGCTCAGGTGGACACAGATTCTGATGAAGCTCCTCCAGCTGATTTCACTGGTGGCTTTGCTCAGCCATCCACAAGTGGCCATGCGCAACAGTTTCCAGCTGCAGCTCCAGCAACCCAAGCCGCTCGTCAAGTCCTTGGGTCGGCACAGAAGCAAGCGGAGAAGCTGGCTGCTCAGAAAGCAAGAGCCAAGAAACGTGGCGGTCGCGGGGTGAAATGGGGTCAAATGTTCGGGGCCAACGCTCAGAACTGGCAATTGCCCCCATTCGTTCAACAGTTGGGGGCCGAAGAGGATGAGCGCTCGGGCCTCATCATTGACTCCAGGGACAAGAGGATCCAGTCACCATACCAAGGTTGGCTCTTGGACGAAATCTTCTTGAACGCTCAGAGTGGGGTGAGCATCCAACTCTGGGTACCACATGAACCTGTTCTCCTGCCACTCCAGCAAAGAAGCGTTCGAGATCACGATCGCAATCAGCCGCGAAGGTGTCGCCCAAGGCAAAGAAGAACAAGCAGCGGCGTGATCGCCAGAAGCAAGTGCTCCAGAAAGCCAAAGCACTGGTTGCATCCCACGGGTCACCCGATCGTGGTGACAGCAAGAAATCTGCCGTTCGGGATGAGCGGGTGCCAGCCAAGGAATGGCAGAAGATCACATCCTTCAAGTATGGTGGGCCCAAACGCTGCCCGTTCTACAACTGCTCCTTGGGCTGCCGCTTTGGTGATCAATGTCGCCAAAAGCACGCTTGTGTCGAGTGTGGTAAAGACCACCCTTGGCACGGCAACCACTGAGCTGATCACGCCGGCCAGGTGGACTTGGATCGACCACCTGGCTCATGGTCTGTAGATCCTCCAGGGCACCATGACGTGGACTGCCGCTCTGGCACTGCACTGAGAAAGGCGACCTCTACGCCTAGCGCTCTGAATAGCTGGTCGGATGATGTGGATCCTGCGGCTCTTCAACCGGAGGGCCCATTCTTCTTGGCGCTCTTTGCAGGCAAGGCAGGCAGTTCTTTTGCAAGGGGTGCCCATCCTTCCTCCGGTCGATATAGTGATCTCGCACATGGTCACGGCACCGGTGGACATCGTTTTTTTTGAATTTTTGGAACAAGATCCTGGCGGTGATCACGGCGGGGCTTGTTTTCTTTCTCCACTGTGGAACCCCGTGCAACACTTTTACCTCTGCTGGGAAGAATGATGGTGGGCCTCCTCCTTTGCGGTTTGCTCTGGAGCCTATGGGTCTGCAAGAGCTCTCTGAAGACAATCAGGCTCTTGTTTTGCTTGGTAATATTTTTCTTTTTCGCACTGTTGAAGCTTGCCGCCTCGTGTTCAATTTGGGGGGCAATTTTTCCATCGAGAACCCTTTATTAAGTTTGATGTGGCAAACTCAAGCCATGCAACAGCTGATCAGTGAGACGCGAGCCTTGGCGCTGGATTTTGATCAATGCGCCTTTGGAGCTCCGTCAGTAAAGCCGACTAGGCTCTTGTGCTCCACAGATCTGCTCGATGATGTTTGCGTTCGTTGCCCTGGCAACCACTTGCACGTGCAGCTCAAGGTGCGTGATCCTCGCACTGGCAAATTGATCTTTCGCACGAAGGCGGCTCAGATCTACCCTTGGGCTCTATGTGCATCTATTGCCATGAACGTCACCGTGATCTACGAGGACGCTTTGGCGCATCTCAGCACTACGTTCTGCCTGACCACCCCGGTGGCCGATCGTAAGCGTGAGCTTGGATCCAGCAAACCTTGGCCTGGCCATCGCCAAGCAGATACTGCACTGAAAGCTCAGTGGGCTGGTTATCAACTCAAGCGTGGGGCTCGATGTGGAGTTGGAGCCGGGCCAAGTCGTTCGCGCTGCCATGCTGGCCATCCACCCGTTTACAGTGGAGACTCCTTTGCCTGATCCGGCTCATCAAGCTCTGCAAAATCTAGCACGCCCTGCTTCTGTTATTGTGCAGGAGCGATATCAGCTGCTCACCTACTGGGAACATCGAGCGCGTGCCTAGCTTTTTTGGTCTGTGGCATTGATCCATCAACAGCCGGATCCGGCCCCAGTTCTAGGCCAAGTTTGCCATGTCGAGCTCTATGCTGAGATGCTCAGTGCGTGCAAGTCTGTGGATAAAGATCTTCCCGTTTTTCTGCACGGCTTCCCGATTGTCGGGACGATTGCTCCGACTGGTCGTTGGCCTCCCTACACGAAGCCTCAGAAAGCTCTCCCTGTACAAGATGCTTTGAAGCGGGCCTGGGCTCTGCGGAGGAAAATCATATCTCGTGCTCACGGAGTACCAGTGTCTGACAATCTGCGAAAAAATTGGGAAGCTTCGATCGAAGATGTGACTGAGGGTTCATGTTTAGGTCCTTTTTCTGAAGAAGCTCAAGTCTCGAAGATCTTGGACTGCGAGGACTGGATCCCAACACAGCGTTTCGAAGTAGTGCAGAAGAACAAAGTTCGGGGGTGCGACAGCGCTACGACGAACATGATCAACCAAATCACAGTGATCACGGAGAAGCCACAGCTGCCCTCGACAGACTCGAATGTTGCTGCGCTCAGACGGTTGCGCTCGCTGAAGCCTGACGATGAGCTGGTAGGTTGGGTGCTTGATGAGCACAAAGCCTACAGACAAGTAGCAGTTCGTCCTGATCAGAGGAAGTTTTCGGTGATCTACTTGAAGAACCCTGAATCGGGTGCCCCAAACTTTTTCGTCATGGTGGGTCATTCGTGTGGCTTGGTTTCGGCAGTGTACAATTACAACCGCCGATCGGCAGCCATCAACGAATTTTTGGTTTCAATCTTTGGGCTAGTAGCTTTCAGCTTCTATGATGACAAGTATGGCTTTGAGCCAGCTGGAACTGCGCCCTCCGCTCGTGAAGTGGCAGAACGCGTTCATTTTTGGCTAGGCGCAAAGTTTGATCAGAAGAAGCTCCAGCTTTCGTCTACCCCCACTATCCTGGGTGTGACCTACAACCTGGAGAAGCTCCAGCTCGAGATCAAGCCCGAGCGCAAAGACGAAATTGCTAGCTGCTAGCGAGATTGACTCCATTTTGCAATCAGGTCTGCTCGACCCAGGGTCAGCGGGCAAGCTCAAAGGAAAACTTATGTTTGGGGCATCTCAGCTCTGGAAGGGCCTTTCTGCGCGTGATCTCTGAAAGGCAGTACCTCAGGTTCCCCATTAAGAACGAGTTTGCTCTGGATGCCCCGCTGCAGGCAGTGCTCGATCAGTGGAAGAAGTTGGTCACTTCAGGTCCCCCTCGTCCGATCGATTTAATTTGTTCGAAGCCTGCGGATTCAGTCATTTTCACCGATGGGTTCACTCCTGACCCTAGATCTAGTGAGAAGTTGCCTGATCGCGTAGGTGCTGTCATCTTTGATCGTAGACGTAGGACCCCTGTTCAGTTCACTGCTGTCATCCCAGAGTCCGTGAAGAGACGCTGGCTCCAGCGGACAACCCAAATTGTTCCTGTCGAAATGATGGCAGCAGTTCTCGCGTTTGAAACCTTTGCTGATCAAATCAGAGGTGCACATGTGATTTTGTTGATCGACTCGGAAGCCGTTGAAGGCGCCTTGGTCAAAGGCTGCTCCAGTCGCGAGGATCTCTGCCAAGTGATTTCTATCTTGTGGGATCTAGCTTGAGGGTTCGCGTTTTTATTGACAGGGTATCTACGGATGCCAATCCAGCGGACATGCCTTCAAGAAACAGGCTCCATGTAGGGGAGGCAGTAGGATGGCGTACTGTTCAGGCATCTTGGCCGCCTTGTTTTTCAACTAATGGCTGAGAGGGCCTGGGTCTGTGATTGTGCCAGCTTTGATCTCTTACCCTTGCTGAGACATAGTCTGCGAAAGACTAGTGTTTGAGCTTTTTGGTTCGATGATCTTTTTCATTTGCAGATCACTTATTTGATCTGGGTTGCGTGGCACAGTTACTTCGACTTCGCCTGAGTCTGAATTTTGCTCAGAGATTGCATTTCTCGTCCATTCAGATCCACTGCTCACCCCATGCCACGAGCAGTCTGCTCTAAAAAGGTGTGCGTTGCACCATAGAGCTGCTTTGGCATGTTTATCTTGATCTATCATTCAGTTGTTTGTTCATTCAAGTTTTAATTTGATCAATCGACGTGTGAGAGTGAAAGTGCTTGATCAAGCATGCTCAGCTGCAGTGAGACGTTGACATATCATCGGTGAGGTAGGTTTGGGATAGGTCGAGGTCTCTAGGCAGATGTTCAGTCACATTCGTTTCTTTTTAACATGTTGTTCAACATGTCATTCCATTTGTGATCACTGAGGAATGCTCTTTGCCATTTTGGCCTCAAAGATCAAAGCAGTGATCACTTCCAGGTCGAAACACCCTGCCCGCCCACCCTGTTTCGACAGGGTGGGTGGATCCTTGGCTCCACCCACTTGTGTGTGTATGACTGGACGCTCTTGGAAGGGGCCTGTGATTGTGCCAGCTTTGATCTCTTACCCTTGCTGAGACATAGTCTGCGAAAGACTAGTGTTTGAGCTTTTTGGTTTGATGATCTTTTTCATTTGCAGATCACTTATTTGATCTGGGTTGCGTGGCACAGTTACTTCGCCTGAGTCTGAATTTTGCTCAGAGATTTCATTTCTCGTCCATTCAGATCCACTGCTCACCCCATGCCACGAGCAGTCTGCTCTAAAAAGGTGTGCGTTGCACCATAGAGCTGCTTTGGCATGTTTATCTTGATCTATCATGTTTAATTTGATCAATCGACGTGTGAGAATGAAAGTGCTTGATCAAGCACGCTCAGCTGCAGTGAGACTTACATAGATTCAAAAATACATAGATACATAGAGACATAGAAGCATAGATACATAGACACATAGAAACATAGATACGAAGAGACATAGATACAAAGAGACATAGAGACTGAGATACACAGACGCAAAGAGACATAGAGACATAGATACATAGAGACATCGAGACACACATACAAAGAGACATAAAGACATAGAGACATAAAGACATAGATACATAGAGACATAAAGCCATAGAGACATAGAGACATAGATAGATACATAGATGCATGCCATGCATGCATGCATCCATCCAAAACAAAGACTTGGCAACTAGTCCAGAGGTCAAGGTAGTTGTGGAAGCATTTTTTTTGGGGTTTGGATTAGTCATTGTTAATCAGGATGATTAATCTTGGTGGAAGTGTGACAGACCAGAGCGTTGATGTGGCAGACACATGCTTTTGTGAAGAGACGTGCTATAGGATAGGCTACATTGAGAACGAACTGTTGTGAGTGTGAGTTTCTTCATTGAATGTCTACCCCAAAAGCTTGAAACTCACCGCTCACAACAGTCCTTTCCAATAGAACATATACATATATCATACACATACACATATACATATACATATAGATATACATATACATATACACATACATATACATATACGTATACAGATACATATACATGTACATATACATATGATATCATATACATATACCTTACATATACATAATACATGTTTGCGTCTATTGTAAAGATACTTCAAACAGAGCAAGTCAATCCGCCAGGCAGCGCGTGGCCGAGCGCATCGAGGCTTCTGGTACGCCCCTGGGTTTACCCGACGCGGCCTTTGATGCGCCCTCCATGGTGCAGGCAACGCTCCGGCGCTGGGCACCGGACGGGATAGGGATCTGGGGGATTTCTACGGAGATCTAGGGAATCCACACACACAGACACACACACACACACATATATATATATATCTACATATATATATATACATACATATATATATATATGTATACATATATATATATATTATACAATATTATATTGAAAAAAATCGAGGCCATGGGGAAATCATGCAGATTTTTGTAGGGTTTAATCTCGTTTAACCGTCTGGGGTAAAAACCATGGCTCGTAGATTTTCCTCCATCCTGACAGGTTTGTCTGAAAACGGGGATGTTTCCACAATTGATGGCGATTAATGGGGAAGATGATCATTGACCCGTAGATTTGGGTGACGGCCCCCTATTATGCAGTTCCGCTTCACTGGTTGTTTCAAATCAGGTAAACCAAACCTTTGGTTTCACCGTGTCCCCCGTTTGAGACATCATGACGATCATCATTTTATCATCAGCATGATCATCTCCATTGTCTTCATTCATATGGGCTTTTCTCTTGTCAGGGATCCTCAGTCGTCACCATGGTGGTCACGACTGGATGATGGTACCCGGGGTACCCCCAGTCGTCACGGGGCGGAAAGCTCCAGCCCTAGGACGCCTATGATGCCATGATCCAGAAGAGTCCTGGGGTGGAAGTGATGATGGAAGCCATTCTTCAAGCTGCCAGGCCGGGGATTCCTAGAGGATGAGTAAAAAAAACATGTTTTTCAGTGATTCAAACAACAAAAAAGGGGCATTTAAGCATTGAACTGTTCTTTATTACTTTTGGAAGTGCAAACTGGTTGGACAATTGGACAGTTGTGAATTTTGTTCAATCAACTGCCACTAGGGTACTAGTACGTAGCTGCTATATAACTGAGATAAACTGATATATAAACTGTGGATGTCACATGATATTACTGGGTGAAACTAATGTGAGATGACAGGTAATCATTGGTTAGTGACGGTTCGTGAGTGTCAGCCCACCATCACTGTAAACCCCAGTCTCTCATGGGGTGTAGTGTTGATAGTGTGAATTATAAGTATTTTTGGGACCATCACCAATGAACTGGGTTGACACCTAGTTTGAACAATGAAGATGGCGTGCCCCTCCGCAACATGCTGACTATCAATGAACAAGGTCAGCAAGTCGCTTCCACCTCGATGGTGAACACAGAGCAATCAGGGACTTGTTCACCAGACTGATATACAAGTTATCCACTTAATATCCACTTACATGCTAAGTATGAGTGTTAGCGTCAGCACTTTTGTTGGGGTTGAGAGTCTGAGTTTTTCTGGTTCTGAACTTGGGGTCAATGGACCATTCGTTGGTGGACCATTTTGGGCTGAACCCATCAAAGCCTCTTGAAACTTGGCCCTTTCTTTTGACCTTCCAGTCCAAATCCTTGTTTAGCATTCTTTAGCTATAGATCAATCATTCAATTTTTGGGAATCGACAAAAAAGATGAACCAATTCTGGTGTTTGTTTAACCATCAGCCATCAAACTTTCAAGGCGTATGGACGCGGAGAACTGGCAGCGCTTTCAGCAGATTCCTTTGCTCCACGTCCACCAGGACGATTCCGTGACTCGTCGCTGGATCTCTGGGGGTTCTCCAAAGGGGTGATCACCTGAAGAAATGGACCTGAAATCAAGAAGGGCTCGTTGATCGCTGCGGGGTTGAGATGGCCTTTCTTCTCCCTATGTTTTTTGATCCAACTAACATCTCCATGGTTTGGGCGATTCTTGGTGGAAAATCTAAGAAATCCTTACATTTTCACCCCGGCACCTCCCATCTAAGACGGTGCACAGCAACCTCTTCGCCCAAAACGAACCCAGCTGGCGACCGCTGCTGCAGCGTCCCAAGAAGCGGAAGCAAAGCTGTGTCTCTTGGCCTTGTCAAATGGGGTTGATCCAAAAACGGGGTCGATCCCAAGTTATGACCATTTCAAACGATGATAAACCATGGGACCCATGGGATGCCATGGGGTTTTCAGCCAGTTTTGCAGACCCCAATTGTCAAACTGCACTCCGTGGCAGGGCCTCCGATCTCCCAGGCCTTTCTCCACATGGGCACTGCGCCAATGACGCCTGTGCTGGCGGACTTCCTCACTAAGCTGGGATGGTCCGGCATCTGCGTGGGGCCGATGAAGCCACCTCCAGGGAACGAGGCTGGGAATGGGGGAACTGGCATGGCCAGAGCCAGCCCAAAAGTTGGATATATATATATATATATATTTGCTTTATGAATCAATTCTTTTCAAAAGGAAACGAGTTCATTCTCAGTGAGAACATTGAATTCCTGGCATGGCATTTTCGACTTCCAAACAGTTGTTTCAAGGAGTGTAAGGTCTCAAAACAGTGAGCCACGTTTTTTTTTTTTTAAAGATTTTTTTGGGAGAATGAATCACCATAATGACTTGCCACAAATCGCGAGTGGTGGATGTATTTTTGGTTGCGGCCCCCACAAACTTGCAGTTTGATTCTCTTGAACCCGAGAATCTGATGTACCAAAGCCTGTTTAAGAGGAGATGGTTGGAAGGACAACTTGCAAACGCAGTCAACTTCTGCGCGATGTCAAGAAGTCTCAGTCTATGAGTGTTACTGCAACCACTAGCAAAGTTTGACCATGATGACGATGACGATGATGATGACGACGACAACGACGACGACGACGATGATGATGATGAGGATGATGATGATGATGACGATGACGATGACGAGGACGAGGACGAGGACGACGACGACGAGGATGATGATGATGATGATGATGATGATGAGGATGAGCACGAGGACGAGGACGACGACGACGAGGATGATGATGATGATGATGAGGATGAGGATGAGGATGATGAGGATGAGGGTGAGGATGATGATGATGATGATGATGATGAGGATGAGGATGAGGATGAGGATGATGAGGATGAGGATGATGAGGATGAGGATGAGGATGAGGATGATGATGATGAGGATGAGGATGAGGATGAGGATGATGAGGATGAGGATGAGGATGATGATGATGATGATGATGATGGTGATGATGATGATGATGATGAGGACGAGGACGACGACGACGACGTGGAGGATGATGATGATGATGATGATGATGATGAGGATGAGCACGAGGACGAGGACGACGACGACGAGGATGATGATGATGATGATGAGGATGAGGATGAGGATGATGAGGATGAGGATGAGGATGAGGATGATGATGATGATGATGATGAGGATGAGGATGAGGATGATGAGGATGAGGATGAGGATGATGATGATGATGATGGTGATGATGATGATGATGATGATGAGGATGACGACGAGGACGAGGACGACGACGACGAGGATGATGATGATGATGATGATGAGGATGAGGACGAGGACGAGGACGACGACGACGAGGATGATGATGATGATGATGATGATGAGGATGAGGATGAGGATGATGAGGATGAGGATGATGATGATGATGATGAGGATGATGATGATGATGATGATGAGGATGAGGATGAGGATGATGAGGATGAGGATGAGGATGATGATGATGATGATGAGGAGGAGGAGGACAATGACGATGATGACGACGATGATGACGATGATGACGGCCACGACGACGACGATGATGAGAACCAGAAGGAGGCACCCTTCTTTTCCTCACAGCTTCGCTAAGACTCGTGCCAAGACCTCACCCAGCTTCACCTTTCCACAGGACCTGCTTCAGTTTGTTCAGCTGGATCCTGCAGAAGCAAAGGACCAGCAAGCCGACAATTGTTGGTATTTGGTCGGGGCGCTTCGATGTGGGGACCCTCAATGGGTACAAGGTACCGGAATTCAGGACTCAAGCGACTCAAGCGCCAATGACCGGAAGTGAGGTTGAGGGAGTTGAGGGGCCAGCTCCAAAACAACTCCCTATACTCAACGTGTCCTAACATTGCCATTGTGCCAGGATCAGTTCCAGATTGACGAACTGCTCGGGGAGACGGGGGGGTTGGTGCCCAGTCCACCCACCTTCCCCTTGGCCTTCGCCCCTTGGTGGCAACGGAAAGCTGTATGTACTCAGAAAAGGCAATTATCTGACGGTTCTATACATAATTATATATATATACAGAATATGCATATATACATAATTATATATATATATAGTTGATCATATTTCATCCATTTTTATCCTAATATCCCAAGTCCAAGTCATGCCTCTCTGCAAACAAACCTCGCATTGTACAGCGATTGGGAAGTTGAGTCTTGTATCCCGCTACTGAAGTGGGGTCTGCAAGGATTATTTTCATGGGGTGATATTGCATGATCCCCACTACACTAATCGATCAGGTCAATGTTCTCTTCAACGTCAACGAGGCTGGAGAAATTGCAGGATTTTTCTAGCTGGGCTTGGCTCTGCAAAAAATCTCAGCTTCCCACAACCTTTGAGGAAAAAACTTGGGTACAATGCAAGTGGGTGAGAAAAATTGAATCCCACTTTTTTAAAGCCCAGACATCCGATCTAAGCCACTTCTGAATGGGTTGTTTTGAGCCATTGTGAGGATTCCAGCCTGTTGGACCCTTACGATGATGACTACGAAGAAAAGCTGAAAGAAAGGTGCAGGGTGCAGACGGGGGCGGGACGCTGAAAGCATTGAGACCAAGGACCTGAATCCCCCGAGTGCCCACCTTTCCTCAACAGATCTGGAAAGCACTGGAAAGTGTGGTGACACCGGTGACACCTGAGGGATGTGAAGATCCTTTTCTGGATCAAATCATGTTTCCCGCGCCAATCAGAAAGTTGACAAATCATGACAAACCCACATGACAAATGGTTAACTGTCAGTTGAGGTCCCGCTTGGTCATCCTTTGGCCACTGGAGGGGAGTCACCCATACTCGCAAGAAGAAGGGACGCCTTACCATTCGCCGGGATTGCATTCTGCATGGAAGCCTCCGAAGACTACGCCCCATTTGATAAAGACTTGGATAACGATAACAAAGAACCAGTGCGCATAGGCGCATAGGTCCACACTGGCACAGGCAGGAACAGGAGGCAGCCGAGGCCGAGGCCAAGAAGGCTGCAGGGAAGAAGAAAAAGAAGGACAGTATACCTCCAATTGCCATTTTTCATAGGGATAATGATGATTAACCATTGGGTTTAGGGTACAAGCCCATCTGGGTTTGGTACTAGGAATTCTGAGGGTATTTTTCAATTTTCGCAGCCATGGTGACCTCAATATGACTCGAGGCAGTTTAGAAGGTCCCACGTGCAGATGTGGGCCTGGGTCCAAATTCAACATCTCAAACTTGGTGAATTCCAGATTAGTCTCTTCATTTTTTTGGATTGTCATAGGGGCCCCGGTCTCTTGACCCATACCATAGTTACCTGCATTTAGAAGAAATCCTGAACATGGCGACTTTTAGCGACACCAATACTGGCAAGAAATTTTCCAGATTAACGAGCACATTGGTTGCTTTGAATGTTTTTCAAACGCTCAGAGTCTCAGAGCCGATGCCCCCTTTTGCATCGCATTGCAATGAATCCTTCTTACACTGATTGGCCCTGCGATATTTGGGTGATTTCACTCCATTCAAATGGTAGACAAAGCCACATGTGAGGTATTTTTAAGTAGGAGTTTATTCATGTGTATGTGTAAACAGTGTAAACACATTAATATAATATAATATAATATAATGTAGAATGATATAATATAATATAATATAATATCATATAATGTAGTATAATATAATATAATATAATATAACATAATATTATGTAATATAATATAATATAATATAATATAGAGTAAAATTAAATGAAATATAATACAATATAATATAATACAATATAGCATAATGTGATACAATATAATATGATATGATATGATATAATATGATATGATATGATATGAGATATTATGATATAATATGATATGATATGAGATAATATGATATAATATAATATAAAATTAAAATTAAAATTAATATGATATGATATAATAAAATATTGATATTAATATTGATATTGATATGACATGATATTATATTTATATTAATATTAATATTAATATCAATATTAATATTAATATTAATATCAATTTTAATATTAATATTAAAGTAGTTTTAATATTCATATAATATAATATAATATAACATAATATAACATAATATAACATGACATAATATGATACAATATGATATAATATAATATAATATAAAATATAATATATAATATAATATATAATATATAATATAATATAATATATAATATAATATAATATATAATATAATATAATACAATATAATATAATATAATACAATACTTATTGTATCTATACATACATATGGGCTGCGTGGCACATCACTACAGCAGTACATCCTTAAATGTGGTGTGGCCTTACCTTACCTATCCTATCCTATCCATCTGGCTATCTGCCTGCAGGACACCGTTGTACAAGAGAATGCCGAGCTGCCGCCAGTGCCTCCCTCCACTGTGGCAGGCTTGGGGTGTACTGAGGTGCTTGAAGAATCACGATGAGTTTGAATGCTTGAAAGCATTCAACCAGCAAAAATATGGTTTAACCAGCATGTTGGTTCTTCCAACAAAAATGGTGTGGGCCCAAACATGGCGTCTTTGTATCTGAAACCTTCCAAATTTGGAGATATTTTTCAGCCATACGCAGTGCCAGAAGGGTCCCATGGCCTAGTAATGCCGCTTTCCAGCTTCTTCTATTGTTTGAGATCCCACTTTTCCGTTGCCAACCCTTTTTTTGAATACAGAATACATACTCCCCAGCATTTTGGTGAAAAAAACAGTCGTTGCTGTTAAGACCAACATTTCTGAATCCACACAGCTTGATTCGTTGAACCATCTTAAACGATCGTTTCTGGTTAAAAGCCACCAATTTCGAGGAAACTCTGCGGATTTTCGGTGAACCCTCTGGGGTCAGGCTACGGTGTGGTGGGCCTCACCCGGGGGCATCGGGTGAGACGTCGCCTGCGGGCCATCAAGAACTGCCTGGCGATCACGATGGGACGGCTGGCTAAGGTGCGGACCGGGATGGGTCATGTGTTTTTTCGGTTTTCTGGGAGAGATTTCTTTGTGGATCTTGATGGATGCCATGATTTTTATTGGGTTTTCCACTCTATGATTTTGTGTCGCATTGGTTCATGGATGTTCATGGGATAAGTCAATGGATATGGTAGGTATATACTGTGGCAGGGATGAAATAAAAAGGAACAGTGGGACAAACAAGTTGACTGGGATAATTGGATAATATTGGATATATATATATACTGTATAGATATCTATAAGTGGGATATGACTGGATATAGCAATATAGTGGGCGATAATGGGATTATGCATAATGATATATATATATACATAATGGGATATATCAATCATGGGATACAGTATGAGGGGATTTAGCTAACATTTGATAAATGGGTCTGAAACTAACCCACAATGGGGGATATAATCGAGATGGTGTATGATGGCATTGAGAACACTGCAGGGATTTACCATAACTTGGATGACAATAGGATGTATTTTGCGCGATATCATTCTGGATTTAAGTTTTTTTTAGATGGGGGGGACTGTAATCTGTAACATTTGAGTTTGTTGCGGTTTGTGTGTGACCCACCATGGGATTTGGGGGTTCCCAGTTTGATGTAATTGCGTATGGCTCTCAATGGCCTGCCTCAACGATCTCAGGTTTTGTCATCATTTTCCCCAATTTCGAAGCGGCCACTTACTGGGGCATCCCCCAATTTAGAATAGTAGGGGATTCTCCAAGGAGCCATGTCAAAGTACCAGAGGGTAAGGTTCACCATATGGTAATATTGGGGAAGGTTTCTCTTGAGTTATGTCAAGCTTAGTTGGGATCAAACCGGCGGTCATTTGTGTAAAAATGGGGGATAGAGCACGCAGGCCAGGGTATAGAACCAAGAACACGAACCATGGAAGACATCACGAACACTGTGGCCATCATATCCCAAGAAATGTCCTCGGTTAAGGCTTTGGGTACCCCGAGACCAAATGGTCACGGCCACCAAAGATAAAACCTTGTGATTACTCCTTGGGTTTTGACCCATACCTAAAGGATCCTAAAGGGCTAGAACTTGATCTGCCGGAATCCCAGTTACAACACTCCTAGTTCTCAAGGGGGGTTGTGACCCAGATCCTATCTGCGCGGGAAGATCCACGGAACCAGTGGAAACCCCCAGGATGGAAGTCTGGTGATGGTGTGGCCTGGGCTCCCTTTGCACCCAGTGCTCTTCTTCATTGCAGGCCATTATGCAGCCATGCATTCCCAGGAGTTGACCAACAAATGATGTTAGCTTGCTATGAACCATCCAGGGTGAAATGGATGTCCTGAAATCGGAATGGTTGATGAAAAAAGGTCGGGTGGCCCTCCATTCTTCAAAACGACTTAAGGTATATACTGTAAATGATGGCATTTGGTGGGCCAACCCAGCCCTTCTAGCTGCCTTGTGAACTACTAATCCCAGACTTAGTTTGAGGGAAGACAATCGGGGTTTAACCCTTTTGCCTTCTGGGTAAACCCAGTGGTTTCGGGTCCAAGATTCAACCATTGACCTGTGGGCACTGAAAAAATTCACCTGTCAACGCCAGCCCTGGAGGTTCGCTGCGAAAGCTCTTTCAGCGTGTTCATGTCTTCAGCCCCGAAGGCTGTGGGTCACCATGGGTCACCATGGGTCATCTCCTCCAAGCCCTGATTCTGTGAGCTGGCGCAGCTGCAAAAACTTGGCGCAGATCACCCCCAAACAATGCTCAACATGGTAAGATTTACGCACCGAAATAAGGGGTGGCATGAACTTCAAATTACAGGTTTTTCATGAATAAAGGATCCCGGATCATCCGGCTCCCCAAATTTCTCTCAGATTTCTACCAAAATGTCCCAAACTGCGCAGGTTCTAAGACCTTTGAGGTGTACATGTTAGCAGCAGGCTACAAACGGGACAAGGCTGACAGCAAAGTGCCCGGCATGGGAGGCGGGTCGTGGAGCGCGTTTGGGGAGCGCTGTCCGGTTGTCGGTGGCCATCGGTGGCCAGGCCTTGAGATCCGAAGCTTCTTTGAAGATACTTGGAGGTTGGGGCCTAAATGGCGAAATGGGTGGCCCAAGCTTCCGGCATCTTCCGGCACTTCAAGGTTTTTGGGGAGGAAAAAGCCAGTCTTCATAGAAAATGATCTCGTGGATGATGGCATTTCCACGATTTTCTTTGCACTCTTCAGTGTCTGGAACCAGAAAAAAGGGTATAAGATCTCTGTTTAGCATTTTATACAGATGCCACGGCTGCATGGGTGCTCCATTTTCACTACCCGGTAATCAGCTCCATGGCTTGAAAATCCACCAATAGTTCGATGATGTTCCCGCAATGGAAAATCCCCTAAGAAGCTTTCGTGGCACTTTTAGCCTCTATTATCTCTATCTTTAGGGGATTTTTTATTGCGACGTTTGATTAGAAAAGAGGGTAGGTCCGGTAGGTATTACCATGAGATCCCCATTCTGAGGTGCGATGGTTTGGACGATGTGCTGTTGTGGACCTTGGCGCCTTTGGAGGATGTCAACCGTGTCAAGCGCACGGCACGGGGGAAGGCACAGGGGGATAGCCCCTCACCAAGTGATGTTTGTTTGGTGATAACCCCATCATAAATCATAGGTAGGCATATATATATAGTTATTTAAGTACACATTTATCCCATCATAAATAGAGATTGATGGGATATAAGTTTGTGTATACCCCCATCGGACTATAGATAGATCCCATCCTAAATCCTACTTATCCTACTGGCCCAAGAAGTGGAGTAGCAGAAATAGTTGGTGGTGTTCCTGATCTGAGACATTTCCAGGTTTTTCGGTCAAGCTGGTCGAGTCACTATGTACATAGATGAATCTGGGGCAATTCTTTAGGGCACTCCATACGGACTCCATTTTGCATAGACCAAGAATTGGATCCTCCAATTTTGACAGCACAGAAATACACTACCAATTACAATCGAATCACTTTTCTCTTTTCCTTTTTTCCGGGGTCCCAGGTTTGATCCTCTACCTGCATGGTGATAACTGCAACTTTTGTGACGCATTCGCCAGCCCAAAGTCCCAACGAATCTGGATTGTTTGATGAACCATTTTCAGTATAAGAGGATGGCAAGATGGAGTCCGTTGATGGATGTCAATGTCTGCAACCAAGTTTCCAGGGCTGCCCAAAGAAGTCATGAAATTTGTAAAGTGGGTAACCATTGGTAATCCCGGTAATCTAACCTGGCAATGGACATATTTGCACATCCCAGGAGGACGAGGAGACCAACATCGGCTTGACAGGTGAGATCGGCGGCTGGAAATTCATCTGGTTCTGGATCAAAACCCATGGTTCTTCTAGGTGAACAGCAAGATTGCTGGTGTTTATGGATGTTCATGCTCCCCAAATATGGTATTTCGTAGATAGTTTGATTCATCCGCATATTTTGGAGGAGATTTGGGTCCTTGTGTTTTTTTGGACCCACTTTAGGTATGGGTCAAGATCAAGGTTAAGTACCTCCAAGCTGGAGACTGCAGGACCTCAAAATGACGAGACAAGTGGGTAGAATGGTAGCAATGAGAAGGGGGGGCCATGTGCGCATAGATATCATGTATGCACTGTTTATATGTCTCTCTCTCTCTATATATATATATACATATATATATATACATATATATATATATGTACACAGTGTATATGTGTATATATATATATACAGTATGTATATATATATATATATATATGTGTTTGGAGAAATTTTAACGACCTCTCTGTGACGTCATTGGAATGCTGGTTAGTAAGGGTAACTATCCCAAAATAGCCGTCTTTTGCGTTAGTGAGTTGTTGTAATTTATCCATAATGTTAGAGAGACCTTTCTGTACTATTTGACGCCTTTACTAATCTTCATTATTTTAAAGTACAAGAAAATAAAGAAAATAAAGATTTATTTTCTTTATTTTCTTTATTTTCCTGAAGCCTCAAAAAGAAAATAAAGAAAATAAAGATTTATTTTCTTTATTTTCTTTATTTACTTTTCCAGGTGTCCAGCACGATGGAATCTATAGAAAATAAAGATTTATTGTCTTTATTTTCTTTATTTTCTTTATTTTCCTGGAGCCTCAAAAAGAAAATAAAGAAAATAAAGAAAATAAAGAAAATAAATCTTTATTTTCTATAGATTCCATCCTGCTGGACACCTGGAAAAGTAAATAAAGAAAATAAAGAAAATAAAGATTTATTTTCTTTATTTTCTTTAATTTCCTGAAGCCTCAAAAAGAGAATAAAGAGAATAAAGAAAATAAAGAAAATAAAGAAGTAAATCTTTATTTTCTATAGATTCCATCCTTCTGGACACCTGCAAAAGTAAATAAAGAAAATAAAGAAAAAACAGATTTATTTTCTTTATTTTCTTTATTTTCCTGAAACCTCAAAAAGAAAATAAAGAAAAAAAAGAAAATATAGATTTATTTTCTTTATTTTCTTTATTTTCCTGGAGCCTCAAAAAGAAAATAAAGAAAATAAAGAAAATAAAGATTTATTTTCTTTATTTTCCTGGAGTCTCAAAAAGAAAATAAAGAAAATAAAGAAATTAAATCTTTATTTTCTTTATTTTCTTTATTTTCTTTATTTACTTTATTTACTTTTCCAGTGTCCAGCACGATGGAATCTATAGAAAATAAAGATTTATTTCCTTTATTTTCTTTATTTTCCTGGAGCCTCAAAAAGAAAATAAAGAAAATAAAGAAAATAAAGATGTATTTCCTTCATTTTCTTTATTTTCCTGGAGCCTCAAAAAGAAAATAAAGAAAATAAAGAAAATAAAGATTATTTTCTTTATTTTCTTTATTTTCCTGGAGTCTCAAAAAGAAAATAAAGAAAATAAAGAAATTAAATCTTTATTTTCTCTATTTTCTTTATTTTCTTTATTTTCTTTATTTACTTTTCCAGTTGTCCAGCACGATGGAATCTATAGAAAATAAAGATTTATTTCCTTTATTATCTTTTTTTCCTGGAGCCTCAAAAAGAAAATAAAGAAAATAAAGATTTATTTTCTTTATTTTCTTTATTTTCCTGAAGCCTCAAAAAGAAAATAAAGAAAATAAAGAAAATAAATCTTTATTTTCTATAGATTCCATCCTTCTGGACACCTGGAAAAGTAAATAAAGAAAATAAAGAAAATAAAGAAAATAAAGATTTATTTTCTTTATTTTCTTTATTTTCCTGGAGCCTCAAAAAGAAAATAAATAAAATAAAGAAAATAAAGATTTATTTTCTTTATTTTCTTTATTTTCCTGGAGCCTCAAAAAGAAAATAAAGAAAATAAAGAAATTAAATCTTTATTTTCTTTATTTTCTTTATTTACTTTTCCAGGTGTCCAGCACGATGGAATCTATAGAAAATAAAGATTTATTTTCTTTATTGTCTTTATTTTCCTGGAGCCTCAAAAAGAAAATAAAGAAAATAAAGAAAATAAAGATTTATTTTCTTCATTTTCTTTATTTTCCTGAAGCCTCAAAAAGAAAATAAAGAAAATAAAGAAAATAAAGATTTATTTTCTTTATTTTCTTTATTTTCCTGGAGCCTCAAAAAGAAAATAAAGAAAATAAAGAAAATAAAGATTTATTTTCTTTATTTTCTTTATTTTCCTGGAGTCCCAAAAAGAAAATAAAGAAAATAAAGAAATTAAATCTTTATTTTCTTTATTTTCTTGATTTACTTTTCCAGGTGTCCAGCACGATGGAATCTATAGAAAATTAAGATTTATTTCCTTTATTTTTTTTATTTTCCTGGAGCCTCAAAAAGAAAATAAAGAAAATAAAGAAAATAAATCTTTATTTTCTATAGATTCCATCCTTCTGGACACCTGGAAAAGTAAATAAAGAAAATAAAGAAAATAAAGAAATTAAATCTTTATTTTCTTTATTTTCTTTATTTTCTTTATTTACTTTTCCAGGTGTCCAGCACGATGGAATCTATAGAAAATAAAGATTTATTTTCTTTATTTTCCTGGAGCCTCAAAAAGAAAATAAAGAAAATAAAGAAAATAAAGATTTAATTTCTTTATTTTCTTTATTTTCCTGGAGCCTCAAAAAGAAAAAAAAGAAAATAAAGACAATAAATCTTTATTTTCTATAGATTCCATCCTGCTGGACACCTGGAAAAGTAAATAAAGAAAATAAAGAAAATAAAGAACATAAATCTTTATTTTCTTTATTTTCTTTTTGAGGCTCCAGGAAAATAAAGAAAATAAATCTTTATTTTCTTTATTTTCTTTATTTTCTTTTTGAGGCTTCAGGAAAATAAAGAAAATAAAGAAACTAAAGATTTATTTTCTTTATTTTCTTTATTTTCCTGGAGCCTCAAAAAGAAAATACAGAAAATAAAGAAAATAAAGATTTATTTTCTTTATTTTCTTTATTTTCTTTATTTACTTTTCCAGGTGTCCAGCTGGATGGAACCTATAGAAAATAAAGATTTATTTTCTTTATTTTCTTTATTTACTTTTCCAGGTGTCCAGCAGGATGGAATCTATAGAAAATAAAGATTTATTTTCTTTATTTTCTTTATTTTCCTGAAGCCTCAACAAAGAATATAAAGAAAATAAAGAAAATAAAGATTTATTTTCTTTATTTTCTTTATTTTCTTTATTTACTTTTCCAGGTGTCCAGCAGGATGGAATCTATAGAAAATAAAGATTTATTTTCTTTATTTTCTTTATTTTCCTGGAGCCTCAAAAAGAAAATAAAGAAAATAAAGATTTATTTTCTTTATTTTCTTTATTTTCTTTATTTACTTTTCCAGGTGTCCAGCAGGATGGAATCTATAGAAAATAAAGATTTATTTTCTTTATTTTCGTTATTTTCCTGAAGCCTCAACAAAGAATATTAAGAAAATAAAGATTTATTTTCTTTATTTTCTTTATTTAGTTTTCCAGGTGTCCAGCAGGATGGAATCTATAGAAAATAAAGATTTATTTTCTTTATTTTCCAGAAGCCTCAAAAAGAAAATAAAGAAAATAAAGAAAATAAAGATTTTTTTTCTTTATTTTCTTTATTTTCCTGGAGCCTCAAAAAAAATAAAGAAAATAAAGATTTATTTTCTTTATTTTCTTTATTTTCTTTATTTACTTTTCCAGGTGTCCAGCAGGTTGGAATCTATAGAAAATAAAGATATGTTTCTTTATTTTCTTTATTTTCCTGGAGCCTCAAAAAGAAAATAAAGAAAATAAAGAAAATCAAGATTTATTTTCTT